AAAGGATCGTTTTGACAGTAACAAGGTAATTTAAACCACTATATAGGTAATAGAAAAATAATGTACAGATCTTTAACCTATAGCATTAATACTTACAATTTCCGACCTAAAATAACACCCCTTGAAAGTGAACATAAAATACAATATTAATATTAAACCGTGAAAGTTGTTGTAATGAAGGTCTACTGGATTTGAGCTAAATACATAATGAGATCTTGGCTCCAAAGAACTATGAAAAATAATGAGCATTAATTTGAGGGTGGATCTTAATAAGAAGCATTCATTATTAATTAATCTAGTTTATTTTGAATCCAAGGCATTATTAATTAATTCACTTTGTTAGCAAAGTATTTTCTCTGCCAGCCGTAATTAAGTCTAGGGAGTTGATTAAAGGTTTGTTCATAAAAAGAATTCTTTTGATGAACGGCCTCTTTTTAAATTTTTTAAGTAGTAAAAAAACTGTTCTTGTTTTGTACAAGTTTTTAACTTTACAAAAGTGCGCATACCTGCTACTTAAATTTTATACTCGTGTCGTTAACACTTTCTTTACGCAATCATTGCGTAAACCACTATTACACGAACTGGGTACAATACTTTACCTACGACAGTTTTTTTCATTACTAACATTTACCATTCATACTTGTAAGAGAGGTTATGTTTTCGTTTATAGCCTCTCTTTGCCACTGACAGCGATGCAACGAAACATTGTACCAAACACTAATTGCACCACTCAACAATTAAATTGGCCTGAACAGCTGATTAGTTGAAGTTCCAATCATTACAATTTCACTTTTTCTCTCTCAATCCTTGAACCACATTGGTCCGTTGCCCGTGTTGATAAGAGTAAAACTATGCTGTTATGAAAGTTAACAATGCTGTTATGAGATACTTTTCAATTCCAAGAAATGTACTGAAACGGCTACTTTAAAAAAACGGTCTAGGGTAAAGACTATTTACCTACGACCGTTTTTTTTAAAAGTAGTCGTTCCAGATTTGAAAAGTTTCAGTATATTTTTACTCATAACAACATGGGTAACGGACCAATGAGGTTCAAGGATTGAAAGAGAATAAGTAAAATAGTAATGATTCGAACTTCAACTAATCAGCTGTTCAGGCCAGTTTTATTGTTGAGTGGTGCAATTACTAAAAAACTCGTAGAAGTGTTTAAGGCACTCGCCAAGGCTCGTACCTTAAATTTCATACTCGTGTCGTTAACATTTTCTTTCAATCGTTGCGTAAGCCACTATTACAGCTGGGTACACTAATTTACTTACGACTGTTTTTTTCATTATTAACAATCCCTACTCATACCTTGTAAGAGAGGTTATGTTTTCGTTAATAACCTCTCTTTGTTACTGACAGTGATGCAGCTAAACATTGTACCAAAACGTTAATTGCATCACTCATTAACAATTAAATTGGTCTTAATAGCTGATTTGTTAAAGTTTAAAGCGTTACATTTTACTTCTTTACCCCTTAATCCTTGAACCTCATTGGTACTTTACTCGTGTTGTTAAGTAAAACAATGCTGTTAAGTGAATCTTTTCGATTCTAAAAGAACTGAACTGAAACAACGTTTATAAACGGCTGTAGGTAAAATTATATAAACAAATGGAACATTTTTATACTTACTTATTTTAGTAAAGGTACTTTTATGTTATGCAGATTAAGATCATCTAACCCAAATTATTAACTTATTGCAAAAAGTAGTATGCAATTAAAACCCTTTAAATAAATATTTACTTACAATATTTGATGGAGGTTGTTATTTGTTTACCACAAATATTTACAAAACATGAATTGGGAGATTTACACTAAAAGTTGGGTGAAAACAAGATCATTATATTCATATGGGTCACTGACTGTCATTTGAAAGAGAACGCGGTTAATATTGGTTTTACGTTTAAGACTTTCATAGTTATATATGTTAAAAAATACAAATAATCACTACTTAAATTGAACTCAGCAAAAAAAGTGTAAAAGTAAATCACGCAATTATTTGATTTTTTCTTCTTCTGATATTTGATGATTATTTATTTACTTATGTTACATATTCAGCCTATAAGGGTTCCACCCTCGATCTATTCTTTTTGATGTTACAGATAACCTGGTTTATATTGTCATTTTCACTTTAAGCCTTTCAAAAAAGACACTTTTATCCCTTACAACGCCTTTTATCGTCTTCTGTCAATTCTTCCCTTGAAGGAGTCAAAAACGCTACTCCTTTCATTATCTTGCTTTTAATGTTACCTAAGATTTTCACAAAATCCGTTTTTCTTCTTAATTCCGGATTATGCACTTTCGTTTCAAAGGGACTTATCTTACTATTCTCGTAATTGTTGAGTCCCTATTATTATTCTTGTATGCATAAATAATTTTCCCAACAATAAGCTAAATAATGTGATGTTTTCAGGGGAAATAAAAATATACTTTTACATCTGATTTTTCATTTTTCTTATATAACTTTGCCGACACCTGACATTATCAGGCATAATAAAAGTCAATACTTTACTCTGATAATATAAATATAAATATTTCCAATAATAAGAAAATAATTAGCATTTACACAATTAGTTTAGCCAAACCCTTGGTAATACGTTGGGGGCGAACGCTCCGTCCCCATAAATAAATCTATTATTTATGAAAGCATTATATTATTTCATGTGGGAAATGCTAGAGAAATTAATAAAATGTTACCATTTCCAAGTTTACATAACTACAATCAATAGAATACGAACCCAAATGGGAATATGTTAATATATCAATAATTATATATGATTGATATGTAATTTATTTACTGAATAGTAAATTTGAATAATATAAACATAAATCCCTTGATATTTATTCAATACCCAAAGGTTAACTTTGTTAAGTTAAACGAGTATATTGAAACAATGGATCCTTTTAAATCTATATTAATATGTATTAAATAGTTTTCGATGTTTAGATATTACATACTTTAAATGCTTATAAACTAATTATTAGATTCTCCATATATGCTGTTGGTTATTTGTATTTCACCTTACAAACTGTGACGTAATACACTAATAGCAATATTAAAATATTACATAATTTATGAAATAAACATTTTAAATAAAATTCTAATAGAGTCTTTATTTTTTGTGTTAATCAAACAAGAAAAATGTTACAAGAAAATATCAATTATATATTCAAACGAAATTTTAGCTTCATGCAAGAAAGGCTATTTATTAAGTCGTTAAATTATCCCTAATGTAAAAACATCCTTAAAGTAAAAAAGTGAATATAACAATCAATTAATTATGAGCTGGATGCTTAACGAAACTCATCGATTAGTTTCTTTCGCTGAAACACTTATCTATATTTGAGAGAGGGTGGCAATACATGATATTATATTGGATGTAATTGAAACTCTGGATGAACAAGCTAATATTATATCGTTGCCGAAATGAATTAAATATTGTATTTTATCCATCATAATAAACGCCATTATTTGACAACATATTATTTAAGTATAAGGTTTAAATTGAAAGGACATATTTTGGACCATTAGTATATTAGGTTAGTTAGGTTAAGTTAAACATATTGATTAAACATAGTCCTAACCCCTAATACTAGAAAAAAACCCGATAGGTATCATAAACAGAAATAAATTACGTTTTTGGCCCAAAATTGAACAAAACCGTATGTTAATTAATGCTATTAGTTTAGGGGTTTTGTTTTATTTTGGGCCAAAAACGTAATTAGTTTATGTTTGTAATACATACCGGTATTTTTCTGGTATTCGTGGTCCTAACCTAATATGATAAGTGGTAGTGAATTAATGTAAAAAGTCTAATATTTTTAATCAAACAAAAATAAACTACAAGAAAATATATATGGTACTTTATGTGAATATGATAGTGTATTAGATTATCATAATTGTTTAATCTGATCTAGGTGTGATGATTTATCAAGCGGATGACAAAAGTGATAAAACAACCTTTACAAATGACCATCAAAACAGTTTGATGGGTTCAGCCAACTTTTCTAATTTATCTTTCCCAACTTCCAATGATTAGAAGAGCAGCAATCACGTTTCTGGCCTCGTCCTACGGAACAAAATTGATTTCTTTTAAACATTTAAAATCATTAAATATCCCAAGTTCAATGATTGGGCCTAATTATTCAAATATATTAAAATTTTTGTGTCAGTTTTTCACTTATAGTCCAGCCATATTATAATATGACTGGACTATAAGTGAAACATTTTGATATATTTTGATATATCAAAATACTGTATCCCTCTATCACTGAGCTGGTTATAGTTAGAAAATGAGGTAGAATAGTCAGGTTGCACCTCATTCTACATCGTAAAATCATCAACTAAATTTTGAAAAAAGGGTGTTACCTATACTACCTACCTATGCCATACCTATTTGGTCTTTTTCATGCGTTTTGTATATTTCTTATACGGTTCATACCTAATATGGTATAATATTACAATAAATACAACTATTAAAATTAATCATCGAACTGGAATTGGATTGAGCTGCTTAAATGCTAATGTAAATAATGTTGTACAAATACAATTTGATAAAGGTTTGCGTAAAGGAATTTTTTTAGATTACAATTGTACCATTTAGAAAGCTAGGGAAAAGCTTTTAAAAAGAGGAGAACACTGTTCGGTAAATATACAACCCGTTGAGGCAAGATTATTTGCGATCCAGCAATAATCCTTCAACTGAGATTTCCCAATAACAATTAATTGAGATTTAAACCATAAATCCTTTGATTGGGTCGCTTGAATAAATACTGCATTTAGAGATCTGATCTCAAACAACCCTGTGTTTACTCTGATTCCAAAGAATTAAGATAATTGGCAGAGAAAATTAAAAAAGAATAAAAAAACTAAATATTTTCTCAAGCATACTTGCAAACACGTTTACATATTGCTCTGAACGCCATAAGTTCATCAAAACACGTATTTCATACACTAAAAGTCATAACAAGTAAGTGTGATTAATTGATAACAACTGTCAATTATGCCAGGTATTCGTGAGCAATTCAGTCCAATTCCACTGTAGTCAACATGAAGCACTACCAATATGTTGTGGGGATAACCGTGGTGGTAAGTTTTACCAACCTTATGCTTTACTTTACTTTGATCGATTTACGTGGACAGTAGTATAGGGTCTATACAAAAATTTTTTCATCGTGAACGAATATTAATTAAGAAGTAAAAGTGTCTATTCACCTAATAATAGGTTACCTAGTATATTTGCAAAACAGATAATTGAAAATCTTATATTTTGGTGCAGACATTGAAACATTGCTGAGGTTTAGGTATACAGTTTTAACTTTAGATTTCAGTACATTGGTGTCACATATTGATTCGTTAGCAGAATTTAATTGAAGGAAGAACGTGTAGGCTATGCTAGGACATCTGTTTCTCACTATCAGCTGCAGTTGGTGAGGCAGAATTAATTTATTGGGAAATTAAAGCTAGGGCAAAGCACAAAGCTTATTATAAACCTTGGGCCGAGCAAATTTTTTTAGTGGCCGAAATTACTACTCACGTCTAAATATAATCTAATATAAATATAATATATATAATATATAACCTAAATATCATATAATATAATTGTTATCTGTTATATTTAGGGTAATATAAGAAAGTCTTGGTTAGGAAGCAAGACATCATATATGCAAGTATCAAGCAAGTATAAGCAAGTATCATATATGTTAAAAGAATGTTATCGATACCTTAACGCAAGGGATTGGCGTGTCTTAACACAATACCTTCGATATTCCATAAAATATATATGAAATCTTATAAGTAAGTTTTATTTATAGTTTCGGTGTAAATGCAACTATAACAACATTTTAAAACTTATTTATAATATATGATGAAGTTTTATGTCCTTGATATTGTATTATGTTATTTGTCTGTTTCAATTCTTCAAGTTAAGTTATATATTATCATTTTTATTCATTGTAATAACAAACTAAGTGTTTAGAAAACATCACTTTTTTGTGTTTTATGTCGTTTAAAATGTAGGTATTTTACTTTCTTCTCCTTTACCAAAGTAGCCTATGGAGAAAGTGTTGTTTTGTCAAAATGTTCGCGTTTAGGTTTTTGGTGGATATTACCGTTTCGGGTCCCCCTAAACTCAAAAAAGTTATGTAGAAGTAATGTCTGTGTGTGTGCGTGTGTGTGTGTATCTGTCTGTATGTGTGGATGTGTACAGAGCTACAGACCGCACCTGTGGTCCGATTTTTGTAGGTATTAATCAATAGTATCTTTAAGGCTTTTCTTTATTTTTAGCGAATTTCCCTATAGGGAAGTAGCTATTACCGTAGGTCTCATGGTAAGACTTAGGCCCGGGACCGATTTACTTTTTCATTTTGATGTCCCCAGAGGCCAAAAACACCACTCGTTCAAATTTTTATATATGTATATATATATATATATGTGTGTCCGTGAACACGATAACTTGAGTAATTTTTATCCAATTTTGATGAAATTTGGTTTGAAGGTGTAAGGCGGGATAAACTTGAATGAGTTCGCGATCCAGCATGATCGGACCATGGGAACAGGGTTTTATGGGGGGTTTTATGGGGTCAAAATTGGTTTTTCTCACTTTTGACCCTCAAAACACAAAATTTCCCAATTTTTCTCTAAACCTTCTTAAAGAGCTTAAAAAAACAAACAATTCAGTATATCAAAGTGTTTTTGTACGGTTATTGGTTACGGAGAAAACTAAAAAAATGGTAAATTTAAAATTCCCATGTTATTCTTATGGAGAATATTGTAAAATGTTGTAGTTTGCTTGTTTATGGATATCTTTTGATCAAACTTGGCAAATATATTCATTTTATACTAAGCAATAATTATTTTACTTAAAACACACACTTTATTAGTTTCCTTGTAGCAGCAAACCTAGGTACTCGTTAAACCTATTGTTATTTAAATAGATCAATTGAAAATCAATTCAGCCAAATGGAAATTCGCTTAGGCGTCAGGTTTGCTGCGGCGGGGGTATTATTTTTATTCATGCTCTCCAATAACAACCCATAAAAAAGTAAAAATTGAATTACTCAAAACTGGCCCGAACGATTTTGATTATAATTTAGAATGTTATACTCCTTTTGATTCAAATAAATTTTGTATAACCCCCATTGCTGTAAAACTACGGTTCAGAGTGTATTGTAACTTTTGTAATTTTCTCCATATAAACCTTATTCAAGGTAAATTGGAATTTCAAAAAACCAACTTGACCAATTTTTATTCAAATTGTGTGTATGTTTTAATCATTTTAACTCAATCACGAAATGGTACATGCCCTATTGCTGTACAAATTACGGTTTAAAAGTTACTGCTACTTTTTTAATTTCCCTAATAAATTATTAAAGCTCACCGTTTTAATCACGCACCATGTTAAGGGTTGCTGACAAACTAACGGTAGAAATTATGTGTCAGATTGCTAATACCGTTTATTTTCCGTTTTGATGCAAATGTTGTGACAACTAAAACAGACGGTTGTTTATCAACTATTGTTTTAAAGTGGTTTACATTCGTGTAAAATTATTACCTCTTTGTTTAGTAAAGCACTTTTTCTTTTAAATTAATGTTATTATTTTAGGTTACCCTGCTTCAACTAGTCGAAAACCCGTTTAAAATCCACAAATGGGACGTAGGGGCCACACTACGACGCCTTAAAACAACTACCGACAAAACTGGTGAGTTTAAAGTATAATGAGTAATTTTAATTGGCAAGGTAAATTTTCAGCTTCACAATTCGATTACAACAAGGCCGGGAAGTAGGTGTTAAAGGTACAAGCATGATGCCCATGCGAGGCTGGCCGAAAGCAGAACATTACACCGTCCCGAGTGGGCCACATTTCATATTTTTGCTCTACTACCAGTATTTTTGCTCTACTACCAGTATTAACAATCAAGTAAAAGACAACTAATTTATCACCATAATACTGTCAATGTACAATAATTAAACATAATGTTCGATAAAAAGAGTTTTGAAAAATTCCGTTTTAATATTTACGATGGGAGAGAAGTAAATTGTTACTAACATGTATGGTCATATATTAGGTTCGTTGTAAGAGTACTGATTTAACCATAATTCTGTCTTTAAAAAAATGCATTAGAGCACCAGCTGTGTTTACTGAGTCTTTTCTGTAACAAATAACGTCTTTAATGAGACCTGAAAACAGCTTTTTACTGTGTTGTGTGGCGAAATACAACTAACATAAATAATATTTAATACCCCCGCCACAGCAAACCTGCAGACTAATTGAATTTAAAATTGCCATATTAGAGTTTCACTAATATATCTCACTATAAATTTAAGATTATTCCCTATTTTAATGACATTAGGTGTAACGAGTATTTAGGTTTGCTGTTACTTGGAATGCAATAAAGTAGAAGCAGTAAGTTTACCAATTCTCCATAACATGAACATAAGAATTTTAAATTTATAGTTTTTGAAACTTTCTCCATAACTATTAAGCGTACTCAACGTTCCAATATGCTAAGTTATCTGGAGTTTTTTAATTTCCCATATAGCGAATAAGCTATTCCCGTAGGTCTCATGGTAAGACCTGTACTCGGGACCGATTTTCTTTTCCGCCTTAAGGTCCTCAGAAATTATATGATTTTATTAAATTTACGTTTGAACTTGTAAACTTACACATTCAAACAAGTACGTGAACCAGCATGGTGGACTATGGGAACTGGGGTTTATGGGGGTTTTATATTATGGTAAGAGTTGGTTTTTACCTTTTTCCCCCCTAAAAACATAAGATTTTGCACTTTCTTTCTAAAGCTACATTATGTAGGGCTCATAAGAAAAATTTAGTGTGTATATCAAAGCTGTTATGCGCTTAGTAGTTCAGGAAAAAGGTCTGTAAATTTATAATTCCCATGTTATTCTTATAGAGACTAAATAAACTGTTGTAGTTTGCTTGTGTATGAATATGTTGATACATAGTTACACATTATATTTTTCCTACAAGTACTATAAAACATTGAAATAATTAGTCTTTTAAACACTATACAAGACGTTTTTAGGATAGGTTAAAACCAAGCGTTGAAAGAAATGGGAAGTGCTGTACCAGCTGATCGTAGTCGTAGTAGCTTGAAAATAAGTGTTGCCAACTTATTTTCAAGCGTACACGAATTACGTGCTTAACAAAAGCATACTGTTTTGTGTTGTTTGGTTGGAATACTGGAGTGCGGCAAAACATGAGAAAGGCAAAAAGAAAAAGAGTGAAGCAAAAGTAAGTAAATGTAGCAATTAGCTACTTTGCGAGTTATAATCAGTGCAAGGAAGCCCACTTTGTCAGGTAACTGTAGTGAAATTTATTTGTTTCATCCTACACTATTAACATCTGGCCAAAAAACAATTTATACATGCCTTGTAGCAGGAAACCTAAGTATCTGTTAAATCTAATGTTATTTGAATAGGGAATAAATCTAACCACTATAAGCAATAATCGTGTGTGAACATCCAATCAATTGGAAAGTCGCTTAGTCCCCATCGGTTTTCTACGGGAGGGGCGGGGTATTTACTCTACGTATTACAAGGATTTAAGTAAAAACCACCCAATTTTATGTAATTTGGTATTGTCATATTATATTTGACATGAGGCCGATAATATATTTCAGTAGGAAATGAAATGAGACAGCGTTATCACATTTATATGTAACGGAAACTCAATAACAGTTTGAATCACTTTTTTGACATACACTATCTCTACATTTTATAATTACTACTATTTTATCTCCCAACTACTCTATAATCAGTAGTTTGCTATTGCGGCTTGGTTGAAACATTAGAAGCCAAGACACTAATAGCATGTATCCCTCAAGATTCAGATATAAAGTGCATGTAGCCTACTTATCAAGTCCAACCTGTTCTAGCTAACCTACATGAGGTGGAAAGCCTTAAAGACTTGAACAATAAGAAGAATAAAGCCGAAAGAAAAGGACAACTGGTCGTGATATATTTCTTTACGTCGTGGTGTGAGCCTTGCAAAAACATAGCTTCGCCTGCCTTGTCTGGATATGCTACAGATTATCCCAAAACCATGTTTCTTAAGGTAAACACTGGAACGCGGAAGGATATTAAGAAACACTACTCTGTTCGCTCTGTTCCGACTTTTAAGTTCATTAAGAAAGGGACCAACCTAGACGATGTGGTGGGAGCAGATATGGAAGAAGTGAAGAGTATGTTGGACCAATACGGCAAATAAACATGTAGCGAATTTATCGGAAATTTATTTCTAACCAGTCCACATTTAAGTGTCTTGCTGATAAGCGTTGATATAACAACATCAGATAGAAATTGAATAAAATATACTTTTCTTATAAATATAATAGTATACCTATAAGAGTGGTTTCAATACCTGTATTATTCGCAGCCCAATCGGTTGCATAGCTGAAGCAGCTATCTACCATCATGTCCTGATAACTCTTAATATGGCTCCATAGTGAGCCAAACCCAGGCAAGCCACAGCAACCCACAGCAACCAATTTCCGATAATACAGGTATTTACATCATTGTTAACTGGAGCCTTCCTATCTTGGAAATGAAATGATAATAGATTTACTTCATTCGATAAGGCAATGGATTGATAAGTGTATGGTTGATTTCTCCACTGAGGTAAGTGATAATTTGGGGTGTAAGGGTTTTATAATAGAGTAGTTACAGATCTTATCTGCTCGTGTCCGAACAGAAATTTAAAACCAGTATTTTAAACCAGCACACTCAGATGCATTATTCAAGTATGTTCTTGATTATTATAAACGTTCATTCAAAGCAAGGTCGCATCTTTAACAGTAAAATAATCAACGCCAAGTATGGAACTCAGCTACATTGCTGTACAGTTTTTTATCCCAAACAAGACACGCAGCACTTGTACTGCAAACTATTCACGCGGCTTAAGGCACAAAACATAATTCAACCTGTCTTATCCAATGCAATAAATAAACTTTCTTCACAGGATTTGAAAAAATAAAGACCCTATTTTTTACTCTTTCAGTTTGGAGTTTCATCAACATTGTTCCTTAGCGATTCTAATTTATACTAAAAGTTACATGTATTAAATGACATCACAGTATGAAGTAAATACAAATTCTACAATAAGGAAAGTAAATTCAAGTTTTACCTGTAATATAATGCAAACTCATCACAGTATTAGCTGAGATTAGTGTGTTGTTAATTTATTATAAGGTATGGGGGTAAGGAATATTTTATAAACAGAATTAATTTTTTTTGGAAATGGGTTTGAAGTATCTATTGAACATCATGGATGAACATGGATGCCCATGAATTTTCAACAACACTTTGTAACTAGGAAATTTTATTTTTTAAATTGGAATTGCGAAATGGATATGCACCCAATATTTTACCTGCATGCAGCAAATCCTACGCCCCAGATTAATTAATTTGTAGGACTTTTATTATTATCTACGTGTTTTAGACAGACGTTCCATAAACGCTGTAGCATAAAATGTAATGCATTTTCTAAAGTTGCCTGTTAAAGTAGTTTTTTACATTTTTACATGCAAGGTAGCGCATTCCCACAATATTTCAGTTTTGCTACTCTAATGTTTACTTCTTGCACTAGTTTACTTGTAAATCGATATTTTCAACGTATAACATGAGTTATGAAACGGTTATGTGAGATAGTGTACACGTGTAAATAAGTTGGCAACACTGACTGTGCAGCTGGCATGTCAGCTGTCACAATTACTGTTTACTTTTCAAATACGACAACTGCATTGACGTACTTCGGATGACGCAGTTAGCAGAAACTAGTATTTTTCTAGTAAATTCACTGGAATAGTAAAGTTTTGAATGTACAAGTTTTTTTTTTTTAATTTTGTTTCATAAGTACGGGATTGTTGGCAAGCCTATGTTTTATTTCTTACTGATTAAAGCTGCAATGTAAAATCCACGACCAAACTAAAGCATTTATTTTGTGCATTAAATCCTGAAGAATCAGGAGCACCAATCGTGAATTTTAATGATATAGAAAATCACGTTGAAAACTCACCAAGCCTTTAAGCGAGTGAAGTGGTTTTGACAGCGTTGCTAACCTTATAAGCAAATATTTACCTCATTAAAGTACACAGACAAATTATTCTCTTGGGATTTATTTACTTCGTTGTGAACTATGTTGTAAACATGTTGAAATGATTTGATATACAAACATGTTTCAATGTTAATACTAGACCACTTGATTAAATACCCCTACCGCAGCAAACCTGTAAACTAAGCAAATTTCTTTTTGCCTAGTTGGATTTTTACTAAAATATTTTCTTAATGTCAGATTTATTCCCTATTAAAATTATATTGGGTTTAACAAGTACCCGTTTGCTGCTACAGGAAGAGTAATAAATCGTGATTTTGAATGAAATAAATAAATTTTCCAAGTTTGATCAAAATATATCCATATAAGCATCTAGACTGCCAGTGCAACTCCTAGGATCGTGGATCAGATCGAAAAACCCCCCACCACCGCTCCGTGCCGATGGCGTGACGTCAACCATTACTGCAACGATACGGAGCTGAGTCATGAGCCTTGGTGGTGTAGTTGATAACGTGCCGTGCTGATAATCTGAAGGTGCCGGGTTCGAATCCCGCTGGTAGCACTAACTTTTTGTTAACAATTTTTTTCATATCAGCAAGTTTGGTTGGTTTGGTTAGGTTATGACAGTTTAATTTTATAATAAAAAAAATATAAAATTGAATTTGGGACATTTATAATTTTATTTTGTGAACAGACCTATTTTTTCGATTAGTAAACCTTCAATCGACCTTATCATTATCAGCAAGTTTGGTTAGGTTATGACAGTTTAATTATATTAAATTTAAATTTAACCTACAAATTATACGTTTTGACAGCGACAGTGATACACATAACAATTTTCCGCGAACAGTTAGATAAGCTATGCTGATGCGCCGGTATGATTCGGAAGCGTACGACATGGTGCGGTGGTGCCACAGCGCCTCTGATCCACGATCCTTCGAGTTGCACTGGCAGTCTAGACGCTAGTGATATATCCATAGCAACAACAGCAACTACACTAGTTTACTTTTTCTGCATTAGAATAACATCGGGATTTATAATTTAGAACATATTTGTGAGAAGTAGTATAGGTTATATAATATTTTTACAGCACTGTCAGATATTTTTCCATTTGAGATTAAGTACAAAACATGTTAATTGCCATATGGGACTTATAGCTCAATTGTTGCAATCAATTACGCAATATCAATTGTTGCAATTATGCAACAAAACTGGATGTAACAAACTATAATGTGGATGTAAAGAAATTATTTTCTATTGACATTGTTTTATATTGGGTAAACTATTTCTAATTTCGAGCTCAAGGGGCGTCAACAGAGTTTGACGAGAAACGTTCACTTTGATACAAGGAGCAATTAACTGAAAAGTTCTCCCTGCAGCTGACAAGGCACCAATATCCTCCTCTGATCATCTTACTTGTGTCCTAGAGAGCTTGAAGTTGACTTAGTTTAGTAATGAATATACTGTGAATATTATCATACTTAGATTTAGTTTTCTCTGATTACATAGTTACAGGATTTTATTTTTTATTCAGAATTTACAATAATAAATACTATAAAAATTTAAATTGTATTAATGATTATTTATATTTTAGTTTAATAGATTACAATGCCAATTTGGTTCAACCATGTAAAGATATTAGAAACATATGTTGGTTATTTCCAAAATTAATTTTACAGTTTATTTTTTGTGAATAAATTAGTTTTTAAAATACGTTTACGACAATGAACTACGACAGCTCAATAAGTGAGTCGTAAGTTTATGAATTAAGGCAACTACTGTTTGCTAAATATATTTTACAATCATATCATAAGGGATTTGAAAAAAACCATTAAAAGGCTTTCAAGACCTTTCAAGAAGCATAATTGACTTCTCTCAACTATTTATATATATATTTTTTATTTAATAATAAGTTTTAAATATTAAATAACCTCTTATATCCAGATGTGATAGACATATATTTTTAAAACTATTTTTTCACAAATGTCAGAACTTGAAGTGAGATTTTTATATTATTTTAGAATAAGACAACAATTCTAAAGGTAATCCACACATGGGTATGAGATCTATATTTATTTTTATCATGTTGAAGTCTGACATTTGTCCATGCAAATAGAAACCCCTCCATAATTCATTTTTGATGTGTTAAAATATCTTTATCTTTTAAGATTTTTTTTGTTTCCATGAAAGATTAATTAATTTCTTTGTGGATAGGTAGCCTTTACAAAGGGGAAGTCATCTTTCGCTTAGTAAAGCTATAGATTAAAGATTAGAAACTTTTATTTGTGGTTATTTTTAATCCATGGTAAACAGTTAGAAGGACATTAAAACAATTAGTGAGGCAAACAAATCTTTTTTACTTTTTATACTTTGTCTTAAGAGTTACTCTATTGTTTAAAATTACTACCTAGCATTGAAACAGGGGTTTGTTGAGTGTTCCCGTTAACATCCAGCCAATCTTTTTAAACACCTTTTTTATAAACATTACTTCTTAGGTATCAAAATATTAGGTCAGTTATGATTGAATTTATTTAATAAATTTCTTGGATTGTAAGATAGAAAAAGAAATAGGGTAAAAATAAATGCCAAATAATGATGGACATTCTTTAAAGTTTAATAAAAAGTAATGAAATTGTTTGGTTATTACTAAATAAGGAATTTTACAACCCATAACCACAATAAAAGTGTAACCCTACAAGTTAATCTTTCTTAGTTATTTACTTATTCAGTAACTTACCTTTTATTAATAACCATTCCATTTCATTACAGTAGACATAGAAAGCGGGCTTTAAAAATCTCAAAACCTATTACTAACACACAACAGGTCCAATGGCACAATTAGAATCTGGTTTTATCCCTTAAAAGTATAGAATAAAATGTTTGGACGAAATGGCTTAGGCATTCCAAAAGAAGGCATAATGGATGTTAGCTAAATAAGTAATGAAATAATGTTGAAAGTAATATTGAAAATAATGAACACAAATCTGACTATGAATATTTTTTTAGTAAAGTTGTTATAATTAATATCTAGAGTCTTTGAAATCCGAGACTTTATTGATCACCCCACTTTGTTACCCAAGTCCTTTATTTCCCTACCAGCAGTGTAATTAAAGTTAAGAGAGTTGATTAAAGGTCGGTTCTTAAAATAGAATTCTTTTAGAAAAAAGTCATGAG